CTAAAATCAAATATGAATTTAACTCAACTCTATGCACCCAGGGTCCACAAGAATCAGCTATTATTGCACTGAAATAACAATGGTGCATGTTGCATTTTGGATGCATCAACCTGCAATTTTCAGTTCAGGTCAATTCAAATCCAGCCGTTCAAAAACAAAACACATGGCAAGCATAAGGGCCAGGGTCACATCTTCATGTTGCATTAGTGCGCATTGCTGTGCACATAGTAAAACATGAGCCAAGTTGTGGTGTGTTGCAGTGCCATTGATTTTTGTTGACACCCCAATGCATATCCCGAATGCACCACAACTTTCCTGCATTTAGTGCTGAAAAAAGAGTGCAGGTACATTAAAAGGTCCATTGTGGTGCCTTGGCAGCCCACTCAAAATTAACAGGCTGCCTTACCACGACGCACATTAACGAGCAACATAACGTGCAACCTTGCACTGCACTGCAATGATCTGATTCTGGCCTAAAGCACTTATTTTCACTCCCTCGCCCTAACCTCAAACCAACCCCTAAAAATTAACCCTTAGCACTCCCTAACATATGACCTAACTCTTAAAAGGTAAATATCAACCTGAATTCCCCTTACTTACCCTATGGACCCAGGTAGTATAAGAGTTTGGTTTCATCCAGTAGCAGTGCACAATGCATCTGTTAGCAACTCAGCTCTGTGAAGTGAACTTAGAAAAAGTACCTATAGGTACAAACTCCTTACATAGCTATTCGGGCTGAATAAAGACACAAGTCTATCCAGTTCAACCAATAGAGAAAAACCTGTACAAAAAAATTAAAGAATAAAAGAAAATACTGTGGAAGAAATTTATCAAAGCATGAGCAGACAAAATCGGGAACTGCTGTGCATGGCAACCAATCAGCTTCTCTCTTCAGTTTGTTCAGTTAATATTTCAAAATGTAAGAGAGAAGCTGATTGGTTGCCATTTACAGCTGCTCCAGATTATGTCTGCAGCAGTTTTGATAAATTCCCTTCCATGTTTTCACTAGGTGCTTGTTGTAACTGCATGTTTGTAACAGAAGCTGGGGTAAAGTTGCCATGGAAGCAATTGTGGAAGCTGCTTTATTTATCCAGTGTGAATCAGTGTACACGGAACAACATTTTCACTTTTTTTTCTGAATAATGAAGAAGAAATTGAGCAAAAAGCTAGTCAAAGGAAGCTGAGAACAGCTGGAGCAGTTGCCTATGGCAACTTAAATTGTATTGTATTGTATTCGATAGCTGGCGCTATAAAATCCTGAATAATAATAATAATAATAATATCAGATTCCATTGCAAGATGAAACATTATTGGCTGCTACCTGTTGTGTTAAAAATAGAAAAATGGAAGTAGATTCCCATAGCAACCAATAGACATTTTGTCTTTTCCAAACTAGGTGAAAGACAGCTGAATCTGAATGGGTCCTTTTTTTTATCTCTCCTCATAAAACATAAAACTCCCAAACATAACCATTGATGGTCCACTAAAGGAGTGGAGATCATTCACTCAGCAGAATGAGTAATCACTTTGCAAAATGACAGCCCACTTGCTTTATATAGCTGTATTTTCTTCAGTTGCCCTACCATGTGTAAAGTGATTCTTTTTTTCCCTTGCAGTATTGGTCTATCATGTGTAAGCAAAAATCCTTTTTGTTTTTTTTTTATTTCCCTTGCATGATTGTTTCTGTAAACCAAACACAGCTTCACCTTATGTACTGTGCTCAGTGAATATTCACTTTAGTGAATCAACTGCATTTCTTGTAATAAATGGACTGCATTATATTTAACTTATTTCTCAGTTCACATTTAAGCTTTACTTTAGAAAACAAATCCCAATTAAATGACATTCAGATAGGTTTGTAGAATCATTTATTTAACTATTAGAGGACAGATAAGGAAGGGAATGACTGAGGTATTAAACAGTCCTTGATTGTTTCTAAACACCTAGACACTTTTCTAAATACACAACAGTTTGCCATTTTACCCAGCATGTGTGTGTGTGCACAGTGCTGTTGATGATTTCATACTGTTCCTGAATATAGTTCTGTAAACGTGATAATACAAATTCTGAACAAACCCCTTTTTTAGGGTAACTGTACATCCATACAGAGTCTTCATGGAGACTAACATGTGAGAAGAAGGATCAGAGAGGCAATAAAAACAACCTGATTGTCAACGCAAACCTAAAAAAAAAAAGTTGGAAGTAGGACTGAAGCCCCTCTCTCAACAACAATAACCCCAGGAGCATGCGCAGTGAGCTAGGGGAAGCGTGACGTCATAGGGACAGGCGTGGTGATTCTTAGTCGTAGCAGAACTAGAGCAACCAATGTATTTCGCTTTTAACTATCATATGTATATTTTCTAGGCAAATCAGAAGCTATTTTTGTTTTTATTTACCTCTGTTATCATCATGTTAATATTAATGTATTATACAGTTCAGTCCATCCAGCTTCATCAATTAGCGATCACACTATTAAGGATATTTCATAAAAGAAAGCTTTGTTGTAAAATGTTTATCATGCATCAGTTAGATAGTATTTGTTGAGTAAATAAGATGATGTCCCATGTAATCTTTCATGTATGGTACATGGATGTGCAGCACAAATCTAAGCTCTGCCTTTGTAAAGCAAGACAATGTGAAAGCTTTCAGGAAATCCTGGACTAGACTTCTTAGTGCTCACTGGAATGGGTTGTAGGAGTCACAATGCAGGATCTGAGTACACCATCTTCATAGAAATTGTAAACGCTTCAACAAAATTTCCCAAATAACCACCACATACAGCACTACAATTTCTTCTTTCATTTGACATTTTCTTCCCGATAGTAGAAAGCTGCAATCACCCAACTACAATTGACATTAATGTTCTTAAATCCATGCAATTCTTCCATTGCCTGCACTAAATATTGGTTTGTAATATGTATTTTGTAATATTATTTCCTGTTTCCGCAAAGCTCATGGCAAGCCAACATATTACATATACTACTAAAACAAAGCGTGTGACCAGAGCGTGATTATTAAAGGCAATTTACATCAAAAGTGCTGATTTACTAAACGAATTGTTTTCTCCCTGCTGCCCTGAGAGCACATCCAATACCCAAAGGGGTTCAATGGAGTTTTAAAAAAAAACACGTTTGCCTGAACCTGATTGGGTGATTAGATATTTGATGTGTAGGATTAAAATGACTGACAATAAAATATGAGCATTATTAATTGTAATGCGCCCTTGTATTATCTATATACAGCGATTATCTATTGATTTGTTGTGTAGATATCGGTAGAAGTTCCCTGATGTGTATACAATAATTGTAATCTAACACTCTGTGATAAATTCTAATTTGCTATGTATGGGTTAATCGTGGATCAGATGAAAGACGCAGAGCCGATCTCAGATCCAGATCTAGTAGATTTTATTTTCTGATTTCCCTTCAGCCATAAGGGGGACGATTTGGTGGGATCTCCCTACTTACTGCTGGAGATTTCCATAGAAGGACAAGTCCTTTGTCTTACTGTCAGCCCCAGAGCCGGGGAATCTGCGCTCAGAATGGCGCACTTCAATGAGAATTCTAATGGCTATAACACATAACTATGAAAGGAATTCGTCTTTTTAGAAACGCTCACTCTCAGGAATTCCTTTGTGCAAAACATCACTTCTTCCATTCAAACAAGAAAATAAAAAAAATATAATAAAAGTAACTGTAACTATAACGTTAAAATAATTGTGACTTATTAGGAACAATTATTAGGCACTCAGAATTGCTACAATTGATCTCCAATGCAAAATACACCAAGCAAAAAAAAAGTCTAAAACTATAGGCGTTCATGTGACCTTATAAAGATACGATTTAATTTACCAATGTGTATAATTGCGCTTTGCTTGTCATTAAATAAGCTCTGAAGTGGCTAGAGGGTTAATGGCATGGAGCTGAGCGGTGTAGGAGTGTAGTGAAGGCTCACCCACATACACAGGGCTGAGTGGGGCAGGCTCGCTCCTTCGTGCAGCAGCCGCAGTAAAAACCGAGCTGTTGTTTTAATAGGGCAATAAAAATGAATTATGGCTGAACGCCTTCTAGCGCAAGGCTTGTGGAATGGAATCCCCAGTCTAGTGCAATACGTAAGAGGCTTTTTTGTGTGTTTGTGTGTGCGTTCCTTGCAATTGATCTCCTTGATGACATTCTCATTCATAGAAAGCATTTGATTTATGAGTTTAGGAAGAATTGCATACAGCATATCTAGATTTACGTGTTACTTTTTAGCCTTTTGCTTCTGTTTACTGAAATTTAAAACTATTTTCTCTCCTAGGGTAAACTTTCTGGGACCTTGCAGAATTGAAAACGTATTACCGATTAAGAAGGCAATTTAATTACACTTTTTTTTTTTTTTAAGTATGCTATTTTTTTATTGATAACCATCAAAACACATATTTTATTCTTTTTTTTAAACTATTTTTTATGCTTAATATGTAAAGCTACTGGAGACAATTGAAGGACTTCTCTATTTTTTTTTAGCAAAATAAAGGCAAATAAAAATATATAATATGTACATAAAATCTGCAATAAATATTTGGTTATATACAGACATTCATAAGTGTTGGTGGTATCTTTGATTGCTCTCTAGGAAACAGGAAAAGAAATAAAGCTTCTTCTGCTTAAGGATAATTATAGGGAGGGAAGCTAAAAAAAAAAATGAAAAGAACCTGCGGGGTATAATGATATACTCATTTATTCTACCAAAATACTTATATGACAACGATGTAATACAAAAATAAAAAGAAAGTGAAGATACATTTACATATGTAGTCACTTTCTTAGAGGCCTCGGTTATTGCTTCCAATGATCTAGGTCAACAGAAATTCCATTTCAAAGGTCATTAAATACTGCAAATGGCTCTTTGACTTGATTAGAGGGGGGGGGAATAAAAATAATGTAGAAACCAATTTTTTTAACACAAAAATAAAATCCACGTTTTTTAGTTTTTTTTTGTTTTTTAAGTGTGCGGGGATATCAGTAGTTCAAATGCTGCAAGTCAATGGTAGTAAAAGTATCTGTGAAAAAATCAAAACTGTCTGTTGAGATATCTACGGGGCTGTCTAGGGATCCTGGCAGGCTGGGGGACAGCGTGTCTGAGAGCTGAAGGCAGGAATCTGAGGAGAAAACGTTGAAGTCAGATAGGGAAGCCACATCTAGGCCCTCAGGACTGTCATTGTTGAGGCCAGCTGTGGAGTCCTGGCTCATTGTTGACGATAAACAGTTCTGAACAGTGGGTGACTGATGTTGAAAATGTCTCAGATTTTTCTCATTGCTGGATAAAGGCGATACTGGAAAAGTCTGAGATTCCCCATGGTGGGAGTTCGGTGCCTGCTGTTGGGACAGGGCGTTCTGCTGGAACGTGTAGCCGTCCCTCTCCAGCAAAGCCCCAGAGACATTACTTAGAGCCTGCTCAAACAGAGACTTCTCCTTGTCGCCGTCGACTGGGTCAGAATCCTCCAAACTTTTACATTTACCTTCCCCGTTTTGGTTCTCCTTACACTGAGTCTGCCGTTTGTGCTTCATCCTCCTGTTCTGAAACCAGACTTTAACTTGTCTCTCGGTTAGATCCAGCAAGGCTGCAATCTCCACCCTCCTCGGTCTGCACAGATACTTGTTGAAATGAAATTCTTTCTCCAGCTCCAGAAGCTGAGTGTTGGTGTAAGCTGTCCTTAACCTCCTGGACCCTCCGCCACTATTATCCTGAATTTCAATGATTTCTGTAAAAAAAAAAAAAATAACACACACTTGATCACACTTTAAATACAAAAATGCACAGACCCCCTCTCCACTATCCACTGCAACAAAATGGCCGACCCTGGAGGCAAACTCCATTGTGTTCCAACAGGGTTTAATAATGTTTATTCAACACAAAGCAGAAATAAATGCATTTTTGTAAATGTATTTGCCATAGGTATTAAGCAGGTTTCCACAAAAGGGGATGACAAGGCTACCAGTC